ACACTTTGCGTATTTGCTATTTGGCATGCATTACTTTTATAATTTTGAGAATAATTTCTTACTTTACTATTATTTACATCTGTTTTCGGGGGAAGTTCTAGCGTTGCGTTTTAAATGAAAACAGTCATTTATCGTATGGTTATTTCTCTTACAATAAGTACAAATATGTGTAACATACTTTGGTTTATTTTCGCTTTTACTTTTTAAAGCAACTGAATCGTACTTTTGAACTTTCTTAGTTTCCACACGTCTACAATACTCATCTATTAGTTTGTTTTTAACATATTCTAGCGACAATTCAGCTTCCGATTTACTTTCTATTGCAGTTATTAAGGAGTTGTATGAATTTGGTAAAGAACATAGTAATATTGCTATTAAGTTATTTTCTTTAATTTCTTCACCTATACCATCTTTTTCTGAAAATAAAACATCCTCTGAAAATAAGCCCTATCGTGATTTTCGGAACTTTTTGTAAAATAAGACATTCCCCGAAAATAATACCTAGTTAAAATAATGTGACAAAAAGAATTCGTTAAAAAATGCTGTTTATTTATTAAGTATAAGTAATAATATGTTGATTTATTAAGTATAAGTAATAATATGTTTAGCTTAATACTCGTATTTCAGAGAAATGTTTGAAACAAAATATTCCGAGAAATTAATTGTTTACCTCTACAGTTCGTTTCAAATTAATTCTTGGAATTTATCTTAACCAGTTCACCGTTGGCCCCGCGTTGGCAGAGGGTGAAATTTGGGCTGAACCGTAACCCCCGAGACAAATACGACGCAGCGACGATAGCTATATCGCAAGACATGAGAGATTCGGACCAATGATTCAACAGGAAATGGATTTGGAAGAAAATCAGAATATAATTCAGAATTTTATTTATGACGATGTTCCAAAAGAAGATGACATGACTGTAATTGAATAAATTTAAATTTCTGTATTCTGTGTAAAATAAATATTAAATAAAAATATATAAATATACTTTTATTTTTGCCCTTCCCCGAAAATAAGCCCTAGTGCGTATTTTGGACCAAAAAAGAAAGTAAGACAGTGTCTTATTTTCAGAAAAAGATGGTACTACGCAGCTTTTCAGCCAATTCTAGTACTCCTTTGATATGTTCCTGCATTTTAGAACTTTCATTATATCTAATGGAATATAGTTTTCTAAGAAGAAATAACTTGTTTTTTAAATTTACAAGTTCATGGACACATTTTATTTTCTGCCAAACTTCTTTTTCAGATTTACTATACAAAACATGGATAATTTGCGAATCCGAAATGTTTAGGCATATTTAAGCTTTAGCTTTATGATCATTCTTTAACGAAATTTCAGCAACAGTTTCCGGTTTTTCTTCGAATACATCATCATCTAAACCTTCTTTTATTCTAAGTTGTTCTATTTTAAATTTCCACACTGCAAAATTTTCATCTGTTAACTTTTCTATACAAATTGATTCTTTTAGAATAGACATTATTATTTGTTACAATTATTCTTATAAACTTTGTAACTAGTATTTTGAACAAAGAATTTTAACACTTTATGCCCATGGAATCTTACATTTCAGTTTTTTAGAAGCATTTCTACAAGGCAATTACCCTATTCAGTCTCATAATCTTTTGTTGGTTTGTGCAGTAGCACTGAAGGCGTATTGAGTAAGTTTCCTCATGTGCAGTTTTCATTAAAGAATCATAAGTCAAAAAATTAACTTTATTTAATAAAATAGGATAATTTTTCTTAACTTAAGCATAACAAAATGTAATAATCTTCACAGACATTAAAACACTGAATTATCGAAAAGGAGATAACTTACATAGAATCATCATCAGTCCTAAATATCGTCAGGCTTACCTATTTAGGCAAAAAAAAAACAGGAAAATACTTTGACACAGTACCTGAAAAGAGAAAGCTAGCACTAACTGAATACACTCCACGTAGCTAAGGTGAAAGTCAAATATACTGCATTGCTCACGAACTTTACTTTCTCTCACCAATATATATCTTGGCGCACGTTCGTTTCATATACCTTTCGAGTTTCATTATGCAAAATACCTAAATTTATGCTAACACCGGCCCAGCATGCTACCGTTACACCATGAAGGCACGCTAGGGAAGTGGGAGAAATACCTTATAAGGTTTCCCTCACCAATCATGAAAATCTCAGATTTCGAATTCTTCCTAAACTGAAAGAGCCTGGCATGCAAAGAAACAATTTTCCTCTTTGAAAGAATAATTACCCAAGCTATTCAAAGACTGAATAAATGTAGTACCCTACAAAGAAAAGCATATCTTCCAAAACATTAGATCATTATTGTTGCAAAACAAAAGAAATTGCATGAGAGGAATGTTAGCAGGAACTGTCTGAAGTAAAATTAACCTGAAAGGAAAATATTAAAGAGCATTATTTTTTTAATGTACTTTTATATTTGTAGATTTATTTTGTGCTATTCTGATTGCCATTATCTGCTCTGAAAGTAACATGGCCATGATAGTTATTGGCAGAAACGGAATTATTTGCAATTTAGTTTGTTACTCTGACCATGAGAGTGTGAGTGACAGTTTGAAATAAATGAAATAATTATATATGTAACATGATTTGAGAAATTAAATTTTTGATTGATAAAGAAACATATTATTGCATGAATTATATTTTAAAATCCAATAGTATTTTTTGAAAATTAAACTATTGTCTGTTGCATTTAAATTCCATTTAAGAGGCTAAAAAGAGCCTCAAGTAGTTTGTGAGTACCAGTTAAGGTGTTGGAGAGACGCAGCTTGCAAGTTGAAGTTTGGTTATGCGTTATACGAGGGCCATCCAGGAAGTAGATTACGTTTCCGTCTGTGTCCGCTAGGGGCGGGGCTAGCGCGGCCATCTTGGGGTCAGAGCGTTGCGCAGCTCAGTCTGCATCTAGCCGTGCTAGTGAGAGGTTCGTGCTGTGCTCCGTTCAGATACTGTGACGGTTTGAAATGTCTGCGTTAATTGAAAATCCCGCGAGCTGCGAGGTGCGCTCAGTAATAAGGTTTCTGACTGCAAAAAACTGTAAACCGATAGAAATCTATCGGCAGCTTCGTGAAGTGTATGGGGACAACATTATCACTGAAGGTGGAGTGCGTCAGTGGGTCATAAGATTTCAAAATGGCCGAACCAATGTTCACGACGAAGATCGAAGTGGGAGACCCAGCATAGTGACCGCCGAACTTCTCGAAAAAGTCGATGCTAAAGTCCGTGAAAATCGAAATTTCACAATAACGGAACTTTCTTTGAGTTTTCCACAAATTTCGCGAAGTTTGTTGCACGAAATCATCAGCGAAAAGCTTGGTTACCACAAGTTTTGTGCAAGATGGATTCCAAAAATCTTGACAGAGGACCACAAAAATCAGCGAATGGCTGCAGCGTTGAACTTTTTGGACGCTTACCATAAGGATGGTGACTCTTTACTCGATCGCATCGTTACTGGTGACGAAACATGGGTGAAACATGTGAACTGTGAAACGAAATTGCAATCAATGCAGTGGGGGCACACAAGTTCTCCCCAAAAACCCAAGAAATGCATGCAAACAATGTCGGCAAGGAAGATGATGGCGACTGTTTTTTGGGACAGAAAAGGTGTAATTTTGGTGGACTTCCTGGAAAGAGGCACTACAATAAACTCTCAAAGGTATTGCCAAACTCTCCAAAAACTCAGAAGAGCAATTCAAAACAAGCGCAGAGGAATGTTGAGCTCTAAGATCTTGTTGATTCACGACAACGCCCGGCCCCACACGGCAAATGTCACTCGTAAAGTTCTTGAATCTTTTAAGTGGGAGTTGTTTCCTCATCCGCCGTACAGTCCCGACCTGGCACCGAGCGACTTCCACCTATTCCCAGCAATGAAGAAGTGGCTGGCTATGCAGCGTTTTGATGACGACGCACAGCTGCAAGAAGAGGTAACGAAGTGGTTGAAGGCGCAGGCGGCCGAATTTTTCGACGAAGGAATTTCCAAGCTCGTACATCGCTACGATAAATGCCTTAATTTGTATGGTGACTATGTAGAAAAGTAGTATTTGAGTGTGGCTTTCATCTGTATATAATAAAATTTGTTTCCTATACTTTGTTTATTTTTTTATTCCAAAACGTAATCTACTTTCTGGATAGCCCTCGTATATAGTCTAACAAAGTAAAAGTATTATAGGTATTGTTTACCTGAAATGGGTGGTTGATTTAAATTATATTTTAAAATCAAATATTAGCAGGTATGTAGATTAATATATTGTAAAAAGAGTATTTGATGTTCATCAAAATCCTTTACAGCCTGACCTCTCAGCTGAATCATTTAAAAGGCTTTTTGTGTTATTCATTAACTCTTGACACTTAGGATTACTAATATGTATTATTAGTTTTCTCGTGGACTTTCCATATTATAATATTAAAGGCATTTTCATTTTATTTTTTAAAAATTCTTATGCATCTTTACCACCAAAAAAAGTAGAAAATTTTTCAGGTTAAAAGAAGAAAACATTGTATTCTTGCTTTTTAACAAATGGTAAATATCGTGTTTATAAACTGGGAATTCGTATCGTTGTTAGTGTTTGGTATGGGTTTTTGGAATGCTTCAAACTGATATTTTACTTTAAAATTGCAGCGTGAACCAATAAAAAAAAAGGACATCTGATATTGCTGTGTTATATATGAGAAAACTGCAAAATATTGAACCCTAACAACTTGATTATAATGGAAAATAAGTAATTACTTTTGCTGCTAGCGTCTATATCTCAAAATCAGTATTTTGGCTGAAACTGAGAATCAGATTTTAGGAAACCTTTGAGTATTTCTGTTAACTCATAATTTACTGTGTACTTGTTACCTGTAAAATATTAAAAATTAGTTTACTGTATGTAAATTTATTTTATGGGTATTTGAGTCGCTTTATTTAATATCATTATATGTTGAAAGCATTTCACAAATTATCTTATAAAAGCAGTTATTTATATTTTAGTCTCATTTTTATTTTACAGTATAAAAGAGATACTAGAATATCTGCCAGTACTGAAGAAGGTTGCCGAGTTATTCCACGAGATTATGTTGAATCTCTGCATCAGAATTCTAAATCAACCTTGCTTTATGGAAAAAATAACGTCTTAGTGCAGCCAGTATGTATATGTTACTCTTTTGGAGGGGAAAAATAAATGAATTAAATGAAAGCTCATTTTTTGTGCATTAATATTTAAATGTAAAATATTTTATTCTTAAGTAACATCCATCATTTCTATTATATATATATATACAGTAGTACCTCCTATAAGGGACATCTCTATTTAAGGGACAAATCTGTCCCGGTTCCTTTGAATAGGAACCTTAATGTATTTACCTCTTAATCCTTTCTGTATGGATGTGTTGTATATGCCATGGTAGCATTTGGTTAATCTATGGTGGGTGTGACATTTGCGTCTCAGAGGATTAGTGCCTGGTTAGACTGCTGTAACATAATATGTGACAATCACATGGAACAAAATGTAAATATTTTTCATTCTAACAGATAGCATGTTATGCCAAATACTAAGATAAATGGGAATTATGATGCCTGAACTTTGACCTTAGACTATTTCATTTGTTTCTTATAGGTAGATAGCAGGATTCAGTGATATAAACAAGTTTGCTGAGTCAATGCACATGCGTTTTTTTTTTTTTTTTCCTTCCCTGAGTGGCTTTTTGAGGGAGGATTACCTAGTGTTAGTGCAGTTTTTATTTAGTTTCTTCTTTTTGTAAGTAGTGTAGGATGTTCTTTCCTTTGTGTGAATGCAAAGTTCCCCTCCTATTACGATGTCAAAACGAAAGTGATATTTATCAGAAATTGAGTATACAGTTTTGTTACAAGATCTGAGTAGTAGGGATGTCAGGAGTTTTAACGGTGAATTATCCAATTCTGATACGGATATTTTATCAGATTTAGAATTGCATCCATTTGCCTCAACATCTGCTCCGCCTGTAAATGACAACACCTGGTCTCGCACTCTAAAAGATTTACAGCATTAGCTTACATTGGTACACCTGGTATAAATTACAGTGCAATAGATGGTGACTGATAACGATCTTTTTTGCATATTTTTTATGATGACTTAATAAATTTAATTATGGAACAAGCAAATAATTTCAGATAAATTCATTGCAGATTTTGACTTACAATGAGATCCAAAGCTCAGTGGGTCGTTTCGAGATTCTCCTGGTCCTTCTCATTTCAGTCCCATGTAACATGAAGAATTGAACTTTTTTTTTAGAATTAAATAAGCTAATGGGTGTAATAAAATAAAGGATCTAAAAATGTACTTTACTAAAATCAGATAAGTGCTACTCCATTTTTTAATAAAATGATGTCTAGAGATAGATTTTTGAAGATATTGCGATAATTTCACTTTACACCAGACATTAGTACTAAATAATTGGATAAACTTAAACCAGTGTTTGAGCCACTTGTACAAAAATTTAAAAATGTGTATAAACCGAAAAGGGTGTGTCCGTTTATGAATCTTGTTTGTGTGGAAAGGCAAGTTAAGTTTTAGACAGTATGTTTCATCGAAAGGATGCCGATATGAAATCAAAATATATAAACTAAGTGAATCTGATAATGGTTATATTTGGAACTTTTTAATATGTACAAGCAAAGCTACCAGTCTTATAGCTAGAGGTGGCCTATATGGAGAACACATTGGGAAAACCCTTAAAAGTGATCTTTTTGGAAAAGGATACAACTTATATCTGGATAGGTTTTTCACTTCACCATCCCTTGATTTATATGATGCAAAAACGAATGTTTATGGCACAATCATGAAGATGAGCAAAGGGCTGCCAAAACATTTGTCATCAAAATCAATTAGACAAAACGATGTAGAGATGATATATATTAAAAATATATATGTGGTTGCATTTAAGGATAAAAAGAAGGAAGTGCTTTTAACTACAGTGCATGGACACCAATTAGAAGATTCTGGTAAAAAAAAAAAAATAACAAAATGGGACGAAGTATTAATAAACCAAGCTGTATAATGCAATGTAGTAAAAATATGGGAGGAGTGGATATTAGTGATGCAATTACTACTTATTACCCATCCTACAGAAAAATTTTTGTTTTTTTTTTTTTTTTTTTTTTTTTTTTTTTTTTTTTTTTTTTTTTTTTCTTTTTTTTTTTTATTTCAAATGGTATACAAAATTATTTTTTGGACTCCTCAACATTATGATCTACAATGCTCATGTTTTATACGATGTAAAAAAGGGTACAAAAACACCATCACTTTAGTTTTTATTAAAAATAATGCAACAAATTATGGACAGAGTCCCGTCAAGGAGAGAATGTGAATTTTGAGCATTATCTGCACCAGTGCTATTTTATCTTTCAGAAAGCTTTCACCTTCTGTATTTCTTAATGGGGGGGGGAAGGTGCATTGTTCGCTCCCCAGCTACGCAGAGGAAGCGAGTTCCAAGAAAAGCACTTTACTTTGAGTGCAAAGATTGTAATGCAGGTCTCTGCGTGGATCCATGCTTCAGAGTATGTCACACAGAAAACAAATTTTGAATTTCATTGTAAATATATATGTGTGGATGTGCTTATGTAGGTTTATTGCTTTACATTAAATATTTTAATTGTAGTTTAACAAATGCTGAACATTTGCTTTAACATTCTTTTTGATTGTCTATATATATCATTATAGCTGGAAAATTTATACATATTTAATTCTGTAATTCATCAAGCATAAAGATAAATGTATTTTTACCGTTTTTTTAGCAAAATTAGGCTTAGCGATCAAGCACCTGCCGTCCTGTGGAGATATCACGGAAGCCCAGCCTTCCATCTGATAGCGAGAGGCTAGGAGATCGGGCTGCCATTCGGAAAGGGTTAAGGGACACTGAAAAGCAGCTTCAAAAGAGAAATAAATAAAAATAGAAATACTCTTTGTTAGTAATCTTTTGAGATTTCAAAGACAAATTTATGCTCAGGGAAAGTTTTATGACAAGGAACAATAAAATGTGAAAGTAATCCCTTTATTTTTAAAACTGCTCTTCAGTAGGGGAATGTATGTTATTTATCATGACCTCAAAGACTAAAAGATTAACACTAAAACAAAAAGTTGCTTTAATTCATTTAGCAGAAACTGAAAAGCTTAGTTTGAGAGATTTAGGGCAGAAATATGGAATAAGTGGAAACCAAATAAGTCATGTGCTAAAGGATATAGAAGAAATGAAATTATGATGGATTACTAAATTAGTGTTTTTCCCACCTATTGCAACATCAGTATTATATTTTCCACCTAATGTGACATCACCTAATGCAACATCAGCCTTTTGATCAAGGCATAATTAGAAGTTTCAAGCTTCATTACGGAAAATTGTTTTTGGAGCATGTTCTTTGTCAAGCTACTTCCGAAAACAGCGATCACTTGGCAAAATGTGGCATTGTATTGAATGCCATTCAGTGGATAACAAAAGCTGTTAAATCCATTTCACAAAGTTGGTTCAGCACTGTTTTAAGAAAGCAGACTTTGAAATTCGAATTTTGAGTGCCTCAGTGAAATATTATTGATGAAAATGAATTGTTTCAACTTGTCAAAATCAGTGGCAGTGCTCAAATGCAAGACTATTTGAAACTGATGAACACTTGAATACTGAAGACACCAATGATGATATAAAATCTTTTATTTCAACTGTAGTTGAAGATGTGAGCCATAATAAAAAAAAGCTTGGAAGCAGTAAGGAAGATGAAGAAAAGCCAGATGAAAATTGTGACATAAAAAACTATAGATCCATTAAAATACACCTCCCAATTAAAACAATTCATGATTACTATTGGTTACAGTGAAGGACTTGAGGTACGAGCACCTCTATATATAAGAAATTCGAGATATGAGGAAAGTATGAGCAAAAAATTCATCTCTAAATATGAGCATCTACTCGAGTAATGAGCAGCAAGCCAGGCTGTTGGTATGAGTGGTGCATTTCCCAATCATGCTCGACTCTTTATTTTTCTGTGAATTACTTGACAGAAATCTATGATTCTGAGAAAGTGGAAAACTTCATTGTGTATCAAATCTAATTCTTTAAGAAAATAACAAATGTGGAGCATGTTAAAAACTAAGAAGACAAGATTGACTTTGTGATTAAAAGATGTTTGAGAGATTAAGGACATGATTTAAAAGAGTTGCACATTTATTGGTAACCATTATTGTCATTCGGCACCAGCCAAAATTATTTTTTAATAGATATAAACAAATAAACAATACTTTGGGCATTAGGTAGAATATACCTGCATTTTAGCTTTGATTTAAATGAAAGAAATTACTATGATCCAAGAGATACTCTGATGGAAATCTGGCCCATCAGAGATTAAATATTTTAAGTTACTGAACATTGGTAGTTTGTAGACCTGAACATTGGTAGACCTGGACTCAAATCTTGACTAGATTAGAAATGTTTTTGTAATGTAAAAAGCCTGTTTTAGGCCATTTTTGTAGTTTTCTTTGCATGTAATAAAGCCAGTTTTTCAAAAAGTTCTGCACAATAATTTTTTTTTCTGCTTAAGACTAACTGTCCTGTTTGCTTTGCTCCAATAATTTTTTGAAACATAATGAGCTTTTCTTATAAATCAGTGCTATGTTAAGACTAAATTTGTTAACTATTAAGTAAATGTTTAAAACTAAAATAAATTTTTAAGCTTGATTTAACATTATGATTAAATTAAAAGTGTATTAACGAATCTGTTAAAACTGTTGCTTTGTTGACAACAAGGGTTATTGCTGGATGAAAGCTGATAAAATGTACTTTTTATTTCAGGAGAAGTAATCAGATTAGTGATAAAAGTTTAATTAAGGAATAACATTTTTAAATTATAAGTGAATTGTTAAGATTTTGTAGCATAAAAATCATATCCAGAGTTATGATGGTTGAATAAATTCATAAATTTCTTTTGTTTATTGCCTTTTAAAATAATAAATAAAATGTATGTTTTAGAAAGAACATTTAGAAGCTATGCCAGGATATTTGTCTCTTCATCAAAATCCCGAAGGCTTAATTATTAAATGGACCCCTAACCAGTTGATGAATGGGTGTTATGGTATAAGTGATGCATCATCAGATTCACTTACCAGCCAAGATAAAAGGTGAAAATTTTGTGCATTTTCAATGAAAATAGTCCTTTAAAGTACTGAAAGTTTTATAAAATTGTTGTAAGTGTAGTTTAAAAATGCAATTTTTTAAACAGAAATTAGCTTAGTATTCTGAAACTCATACTTAAACACATTAGATTTTCTTTTACAATTAGTTGAAAGCTATGTGCATTAGTTTTGGCTTTGAAATTTTAATGAAATTTTGTCACTCTTAAGTCCCCCCCCAGCAATCTATGATATAATTTCTAGTAATTTTGCTGTATGTATTTCTTCTTGATTACTTGGAAGGGCAAGGCAATAATCTAATGAGTGACAAGGTTATGTTTCCTATGATAAGAATGTTGATCTTAAAAAGTAGATGAGGTAAAAAAAAAAAAAGAAAAACATTGCTAAAAGACAAAAAGTTCTAACTCACTGTTTTATGACAATTTAAACTTGATGGTAATGTTCAAGTTCTTTTGTAATTTTTTAATAATTTAATCTCTTTGTTTCTAATGAAGATTATGATTCTATTATCTATAGTGTGTTATTTTTACTCTGAATACTGATTTAATGTAGACAGTGGAAAAAAAGGTGGGGCAGTTCCATGTGTTCCGTTCTGCTGGGCCAATTGATGGAATTCAGCTTATGTTTTTCATGTCTTGAAAGCACAACTTTTGCTATGTATTAGATTTATATATAGCTTTGTACTAATGTCAGTATTGTGGCACAAAATTGGATGTTTTCTGAAATGACATGCCAAATTTTTCCCATATTTCGATTCTACGACTCATTATTCCAAACTGCTAAATTTTGTAAAAATTGCACTAGTAGTTTTTAAAAAATTAGCTCTCAAAATTTTTGCTCCTCAATGTTAATTGAATTTGATATATATTTATTAATATCTCTTTTTTTTATTATTAAACTTACTTCATTCCTTCCTCCAGGAGAAATTTAGGCTTAATCCAAATATAATACGCACATTTTTTAAATTTGTATTTTTACAAGTGATAATAACACGAAATGTGGTTAATGCACTTTGTTAAAATTATTTGAAAATATGAACGATGACCTCCCGCTCATATACAATGAAAAAAAAAAAAAGGGGAAAGGAAAATAGGTTGCTTTAAATTAAGAAGTTTGCCGAGGAAATTATTCTTAGCACAAACTGAAAAAAATGTGCCAAGATAAATTTTCGAATTTGTCCATAAATTTCGTACCAGATTTTATAAAGTTTAATATTTAGGCATAATTGTAGAATAGAAATATGAAAAAAAATTGGCATGTCAATTCAGAAAAAGTTCGATTTCTGTGTCAAATCACCTATGTTAAAAAAATAATATATATATATATATATATATATATATATTTAATATACATCTTAAGTTGTACTTTCGAGACATGAAAAACACAGTTTGAATTTTGTCAGTCAGTCCAGTAGAATGAGAGATGTAGAATTGTGACCCCCTTTTTTGTGCAGTATACATAATTAAGTGAATATATAAACTAAAAATACAGATAAATTCTTCTTAATATTTTTTATTAATTATTACGTAAGTTATTCTTCTTTCCTGTGCTTTTAGTTGCCTTCAGATTAACCATAATTTTGCATTAACTATGCACATCATCTCTAAACTTGTATCAATGAATCAAGAGTCTACTGTATTAACAAATAATTATATAACATTTTGCTTAATTACAGTTATCTGTAAAATATCTATAGTTTAGTTTCCTACAATCACTTTTAGTGTATTTTTTTAAATCAAAGCGGTTCTGAAGTCTGCATATTTAGAAGTATTTGCTTTTTAACTCTCATAAAGATGTGGGTAGATTTCTGAAAATATGCATCTACATCCATGTGCAAAATTAAGAGATCGTGGACATTATCTTGAATTTATTAAAACAAATGGACAGATTTTAATAAAATTTGTTATAAATATATATATAGCAGAAAAAGATTGAGTTAGTTCTAAATTTTTATTATCCTATCTGAGGAGAAAGATGTAGGGCATCTTTAAGCCTTTGCAATGCGAGAAGTGACTCTCACTCGCCATGTGATTTGATGCCGTGACTCGAGAGGTGATTCTCGCTCACCACTTGGTTTCATGTGGAAACTCGATGCGTGGCAATAACTGTTTATGTTAAGTTTCTTTGAAGCAGGTTCCTAGGCTCTTTCTGTAATCTTGTGAAGTGTAAAATACTTCTTTAAATGGAGATAAAATTTTCTTATCTGAAATTTTATCTTTTGTTATCTATAACAAAGTCTGTTCTCAGAGAAATGAACCTGGAAAAAGGCATCAAATGACATATTATTGTAATTTTTGCCCCGACAAGCCGGCATGCATCTTGGGAATTGTTACATGAAATATCAAACACAGAAAAGTTACAGAGACTAATATTTAAGAAATTAAGTTTATAAAGGTGTAAAAATATATAAAATGTTAAAATATTAAAAAAATTATATATTTATTTGTGTGCGTAATGATTTTACATTACTGGTAAGAAATGTGTCAAAAAGGCTGTGAAAAGTCTCGAGTTGCTGGTGCGCCGTGCCATGTGAAAAAGGCCCCAAGTACAAAAGGTTAAAATTTCATAATATTAAAAGTGAAAATTTAGAGTATTAAAGTGGAAATCTTGGAACTTGCTGCTTTTTGTATGGGAGGTTAAAACTTGTTAAAACAGTTATGTAATGATTATAATTAAAGAAGCAACAGAAAAAGAAATGGTAATAAATTAATCACCCTTAGTTAATGTTTCAAACAGAACTTGCCAAGGAGTGATATGAATGATAACCCCCCCCCCCCCCGCTCATATACAATGAAAAAAAAGGGAAAACTAAATAGTGCTTTAAATAGAATTCTCAGTAAATTAGTGAACACAACGAAAAAAAAATGCACCAAGAGAATTTTTGAATTCTCATAATTTCATACCAATTTATAAAGTTAATATTTAGGCATATTTGAGTGTAGAAAGAACTATGAAAAAAATTGGCTGCCCCTTCAGAAAGTTCGATTTGTGTCAAATCACCTGTGTTAAGAAATATGTTATATAATATTTTATATTTAATATTATCTTAAGTTGTACTTTTACATGAAAAACCAGTTTGAATTTTGCAGTAACCAGTAGAACGGAGACGTGAACTGTGCCCCTTTTTTGCACAGTATATACTTTAAGGAATATATAAACTAAAAAAAGATAACTTCTTTTAATATTTTTTATAATTATTTGTAGTTCTTTTCTTTCCTGTGCTTTTAGTGTCTTCATATTAGGCATTTATTGATCAGTTTAAAAAACATAAATAATTTAATTAATGTTTTAAAAATTTAAACATAAATTATTAATTGTCAGTTTAAAACATTAAACTGGATCAATTAATAAATGTTGAACAACATGTTTTGTTCCTCTTGACACTAAGACTCTAAACTGTTGTAAATTAATTCTTTTTGAAATATTATTTCCGTGACAGTCTTACTTTGTTGAAGAGCTATTCCTACGTGTTATCCCTACTCTTTGAATTAATATTACCGTAAATTTAAAAATATACCACATTAGAGTAAAAATGTGCAAAATAAAATTGAAACATAAAAATTGCTGCATTATAATAAATTGGAAGAAAAACCACTAGAACTGTACATAAAAATTCTGCAAACATTATTCATATAAATTATGAAACATTTTACTAGTTGTCAGACAATTAAAATACATCTTCTTGTCAATTGAGTTCCCCCCCCTTTTTTTGTTAAAAATTGTGACGAGAATGAATACAATTGTAACCTTAATCTTTTTTGGAACTGCAGATTTAAAATAATATATATTAAATTAACTAAAATTCTTAAAGCGAAAAATACTTATATTGCATTCGAATTGATTGCTCAAACAGGTTCATACGTCCTTAAAAGACCTTAAATTTCTTTAATCGATTTTCTGTCCTTAAAAGTCCTTAATTTCGGCCAAAATCGTCAGAAGGTCCTTAATTTTAATCATCTGAAATTTCTTGTTTTTACAACTGCTATTTTGAGTATGAATTATCATTTTGGAGAAATATTTTTGGCGATTCACTGACAAATATGATTATCTTTTGAATGGGTTCATGGGTTATAACTTGTTTCTATTTCTAATATAAAGGGTGGAGTACTTGGAGTTTCCGAGCGAGAAGTGAAACATAAGAATTTCAAAATTATTTCATTTTTTCCTAATGAAGAGCTCTTAAACAACTTTCCGCTTTTGTGGATGTGAATTCTTTTATAAAATGGCTCGAAATTTAGTCACTTATCAACATTTCGGCGATTTTAATATAACTTTCTATAGAAAATGTTTAATTCGGAGATCTGGGAATTTTTCGTCGATTTCTTTTAAAAACATTGTAACATTGAGCAATTTAACTAAATTATGGTAATATATTGAAATTATATTTAGGAAATAACATTAAAATAAAACATTTATATTTTTTTGCTGTCATATTATGAAGAAACATTACTTTCCATTTTGGCGACTTATTATACAGTATTTTGAATATGAAAAATAAACAAGATGATAAATGTTATAAAGCACAGTTTAGAAAACAATTCATAGCAAAACCAAAATAGCTATGTAATTAATTAAAAATTTCTTCCTTTCAATTTTTTCATGGTTCCCATGTAATTGTTTCAGAATATTCAGAATTATTAAAATATGCATCAGTTTTCTCTATAAAATTAATTTCATACTTTTTTCCACTGATTTTTTTTCAAACTATTTCTGGCCTTTTTTCTATTACAGAATTGGTAGGGCTAATTTTTCTTTAGGATTTTAGACATTGCAACTTGAAAAAAGGATTTGAAGGCAAGATTTACAGACCCACAATTCTAGAAGGCTCCTTTAAAATGTGACAAAATAAAATAAAAAAAAAAAAAAAAAAAAAAAAAAAAAAATCTTCATTGTATTAACACATAATGGATGTGTTTTACAGAAATTTTATGATGAATTTCTTACATTGTGAAGAATTTTTGGAAGGACACTGAAAATATAATGATATA